TTCTAGGAACCGAACACGGTCCAAATCAGTTAAGGCTAACGCAACGGTAACACACCGGTTCAGGCCAACCAGCTACGGTCAATAGCTACCGTTAGCCTTTGTAGGCTAAACGTGGTCACATACAAATCAGGAACAAACTAACGACATATGTGCTGTTAAAAAACAAAAACAAAAAACAATACGTGATATGTGTTAAAGGAAGACAGACTAGAAGGTTGGCCAGCGAAAAGCGTTGGTTTAATGGTAGACCCCAGAACTGGAATTTGTTGTTGTCTTTACCGCTGTCTTAGCTGAAGGTACAGCAGTGTCTGACAGCGCACTGTTAAAATGGCCAAGTACGCTTCCAGCTAACGTTAGCCGGCTACTGCACCAACCAAGTGCATGGGCTGCCAAGTGGACTTACCAGTAGACAAGGGTAAACTTAGAGTCTTCTCCAACATGCGGTTTATGTCGCCATTAGACCCGGGACTTCAGCTGAACAAACACGAAGATAACGCGGAGCTCCGCTGGAAGAAATACAACGTTTTAAAGTGGTTCTGACAGGCGCGAAAAGGTAGATCATCAGAGAGCACTTTTCAAGATGGCGGTTCCGTCAACTTCAGCAACCCCTTCCCCCACTACAGCTGCAGCGATTGTCACTCAAACTGACGCAGGAAAACGATTGGCCGTGCTCTTGCCGTTCATGACCCGCCTTAAATGTCTATTGGTTACATAATGTGCCATTTCGAAGCGTCATTCAGTCGTCCAAAACATAACGCACAGCAGGGAAGCGCGGAGTTTCAGCTATGTAATACATTGTGAATATACGATGGAAGCGTCATGAAACCTAATATGTTTGCTATTACATTTTATAAAAGTTATGAGTTGATCACATTATATGGAGGAATATTTGCTTAAATTATAAAAGGTAACTCCACCCGCACTTATGCCTTGAGCTTAGAATTGAACGTACTCGCGTAGGGCATTTGGTTCGTTTAGAAACGCCCAATTTAGTGAGGACTGGGAGGAATTAAAGATAACCATTTACTCTGTCCCTCGATGTGTTATGATCCAGCGGTTAACGTTTCAAAAACATTACATTCTAAGAAACATGGAAAACGTTGCTTAAAGAGAGTAGATTAGGCCTCTATGAAATGTATCTATGTATATTGGTTTTAAACTAGCTATGTGGGTGGATAATATAGATAGATAGATAGATAGATAGATAGATAGATAGATAGATAGATAGATAGATAGATAGACCCACAATTTTACATTTTTATCTTAGGGCTGTTGACCAAAGTTTTAAATTATCATTATTATTGTTGTTGTAAACAAAATACAAAATCACATTCAAGCTCAGACATATTTATCAATGTCCGTCAATTTTTAATGGTTAGCGAGTTAACTATCCTGCATGTTTTTGAACTGGAAAAAACCCGGTGAAAACAGACAGAGAGAACATACACACTCCATTTATCAACGGGTATAAAACAAATGACCTATAATTATAAGGCAAGAAAACAAACCACTTTCTCTCCATTTGCCCTATTATTATTATTAGTAGTAGTAGTAGTAGTAGTAGTAATATATGACTTCTTTGTTGGTCCGACTCTACCGGAAGCTTCTGAACATAGCTCACCCAAATCCGTTAATCTGCTGAGAGAGGCTGATGCTGCTGAGCATCCAGACACCATGCTGTCATTTTATCTAAGGGCGGTGTCAAACCTATGCACACACACCCTCTGAGCGACAAACATACACAGCGGAAGAATTCGGGAGCAAACGCAACTATAGCTTCGAGGCAATAAAATGGATTTACGTGCCATCATAGAGCAAATGGAGACAGGAGAGCAGGACTCCGCTTTGACCGCTCTACAGATTTACAACAAGGAGGTAATGGTGAGCCCATGTAGTCAGAGGCATCTCTGCAGCTACAGAGACATAACAGTAACTTCACCACTCCGCATCATCCATCTGTAAATGATAAGGATGCTTTCACGTACCCATAGCAAAGCTTGCATTATCATAATTCGATGGTATCGTTTTTTAATCGTTGGAGTTAACGGAGTGGCATTCATCCCAAACAGCATAGGTAGGATAGACAAGGATAAGCTTCTTATTAACTCTTCAAGATATATACTAAACCCTTGGAGCTCATTTATTTAATGGCTTTGGCTTCTTGAGGACAAACGAACAGTAATATGTAAACACAGTCCAAAAATAGTTACATCAAAAGCAATTGGACAAAGTCGTTTTTGTTGTTGTTGTTGTTTAAAGACGTTTCGCCTCTCATACAAGAGGCTTCTTCAGTTCAGTTTGTCCAGTTGCTTTCGTGTATGTATGTGATGTAATTATTTTTGGATTAAATGACCTGGATGACTGAGAACCTACAGAGACATGTAAACACAGTGTTTTACACGGCGGTGGTGAAGCACGTTTCTACAAAATACAGTTTAAAAAAAGTTTTAAAACATTAGAATACAGACACATTTGGAATAACAGTCGGTATTATATTTAATACTTCAATAATCAATCAAATACTTTAATAATCAATTTTTGGTTAAACATCCATCATTCATCATAAAGTTATTCATCTTTTCTATTCAGACACGTGTCCAATTTTTCCCCATGTGACAAATTGATAATGTTTCAAAACTGAGGGGTCAACAAAAAAAAGAATTCTTTCATATCCATTCAACCCATAACAAAAATTCAGGACTGTAGGTCCTACCCAACAATATAATTTCTCTCTTCATTCTGAAAAGTAGTAAAACAGACCAACTTGGTTTTAGTTAGCCCAGCCAATGTACCGTGGAGAATGTAACATTGGCAATACTGTACATCGCAAAAAAGAAATAGTCAGAGTCAGACAACAAATGAGTACACATTTCTATCAATCTAAATTATATTATAATATTGTACATAGACTAGAAGAGTGGTATTAATTTATACGTTTCAAAAACATTCCAGAGAAAGAAGTTCAAAATTGCCATCTAGTTGTCACAATGGCCCCTTCCCCAGTTTTTACAACACTCACAACAACTCATCCTAAATGTCACTAAAACATGGCTGCCAGAAGGAATACAGGAAAAGCTGATGTTAGCCTTCTATCTAGCCAAACAATGATCTCATTTTAACTTAGCTGCCACCTTAACATGCTGATATTTTTTTATTGTGTTTACCACATCCCTACTCCACAAACCTGTATTTAAAGTTTTCACAGTACCCACCTTCTGTCCTCAATTCTTTATTTAATCATTCTTTACCTCCCACTGCTTTGTAATGTAGTCAAAAGTACATTATTACCCCCCTAACCTGCTGTACCTCTTTTTGCCTCACCACCCTCTCAAAAGTTTATTGTTTGTCCTATCATTCCATGTTAAACACTGTCAGTTCTAAAATGTCAATATTACACCTTTGAAATAAGCAGTAGACACACAGAGCTTTTACTTGTGTAGAAGTTCAATGAAGGCAGCAGGATTAAAACCTTGGATGCACAAATAGAGACTTCAGCCCCGTCAAATCCAATGCACTCAACAGAGATAAGCATAAGCTTAGCATTGAAGTAGAGCTGCACAATCTGTTATACACTGAACTTTCCCTTCACTGAGTTCTGTTTTTTCATATTGCTTATCTTACCCAAACATTTAATCCCATAAATATATATTTTTAGTGGCGCTTTGGCCCAGAGGCAATGTCTCTGTCATTGGTGTGGAACCCCAGGGTTCACCTCCTGGGCAGGTTCGAATCCCGGTTAGGGTGGTTGGTACCTTCCAGTGGACTCACCACCCGCAGGAAGGTTTAGGTACGGTGCAATGTGATTTGGGTGGTGACTGCTGCCCCCGCGACCCGGTAACGGATAAGCGGATGAAAATGAATGAATGAATGGATATATATTTTTAAAAAGAAACCAACTCCAGAAATAGATCTTCAGTATACAGAGTAGTGAAAATTAGGAACCAAAGATATTTCCTCTACATACTGTAGGAGCCTACTTTTCCATCATGGTTAGTTGGTTGCAGTATACAGTTTCACCATAAGTCATAATGATGAAATAGAGCACTCAAGGTAGAGTTGCAAGCCTTTCTTTTGCAACATAGCTAGGAATTCAGTGGTTGTTGTCCATAATTATGTATACAGTCCATGGTCCCAGCATTGTTTTGACATGTCTCTGCTGTATTAACTGTATTACCTGAGCGTTATTGGCGACTGTTTAACAAGTACATTAATGGTCAGCAGAGAATGATTTAATAAAGCTTCAAACTTTCAGCTAAATCTAAAGTTTGATTTTTTTACTGGCAGTGCAAAGAACAGATTATTAAGAGTTTCAGGAGCTGAAACCATTTTAGTTTTTTTACAAAATAGCGGAGGAGAACGTCTGCCCTGACGTTCAGGAAACAGCCTAATGAGACACTTTAATGCATCTGAGAGACAGCTCATGAATACAAAGAAGCCACTCAGAAATATTACAGACACTCATCATTACAGTTGTGAGTTATAGCACAGGATTTAAAGGAACATACTTCTTCAGGTTATGTCAGGATGAGGGGTGGCTCTGATCCACAGTAATGTAGACAGTACACAAAACCTTCATCTCTAAAAGAACCGTTTTATCATTTTACCATAAAATACAATTCACCCAGCGTTGAGAAAAGGACAAATACATTTCACACATCATCAGTAAGTCACAAACCTAATTGATGCAGTGGATGTTTGAGTCATGTTTCAGTGTTTTCTTCTTGGATGACATACAGCAGTTGACATCATGCTGCATAGTGTCTCTCCTTTTAAACACATCTCACTTTTTGACATGCATCAGCAACTTAGCCCTTCAAATCCTTTTCATTTGGAATCTAAATTGTAAATAGTTTTTATTTCTTTTATTTATTTCTTTTTTCATTATCTACTTGGTGACATCTATGTCTTCTGTTCATGTTAGCTATGTAAGCCTTTAATGCTTTTATGTGTTTACCTTTTATCATCTTTCTAAAAAATAGGACAAATATAGCGCAATATTTTGCATATTTTGTGCGGTATTGGTTGTGAAGGGCAAGATGGCTGCTGTTGTTATCAAATAATCATGTTATTTAATTTAAAGTAGCAATTTATAACTGCTACTTATTACTAGATATTTGGGATTTTATTGCAGACCATTTGAATTCACAAGGCACAGTTGGTGAATAACTCACCTTCAGAATCAGAAATACTTATTGATCCCAGGGGAAAATCTCTTGTCACAGTTGCTCCTGCAAGAGTTTTCAAAGAGCAAGAGGAATTATCTGAGATATATAGGGAGAAAACACAGAAAAAGTTTGATGTAATCACAATTATTAATTCACTACATTATATGCAGCACCAAATGTGAACATGCAGTTTTAGCATTTTTAAAGTATGTTTAGGGTCAACAATTAAAAAAAAAACAGTTGTAGAAAGTGTAACCCTGTCGTGTGCGGGCAACGCAGTAAGCACGCAGGACTCAAATGCAGTACTGGTGAGACTCTTTCTGGTGCAGGTAGTTTTATTTACAAAGTCAAAAGTAACAAAACACAAAGAACTAACAGGCATGGAATTCTCTTTGGAACACGAGGAAACACATAGTAGAAAACTCACGGAGATCTAACACACTGACCCAACACACTGATCCAAAAACCCTGACAGAGTGAGGGAGAGGGGTATATATACACAGGGAACACCAGGTGACACAAGTGAAGCCAATCACCAACAGGTGAGTGTGATCCCACAGATTATCCCACAAAGACAACAGGAAAACACGGAAACAGACAGACATGACAAATCCTCTCCATGTCAGTAATAAAGTTCCCTGCAGGTGACTTTTTCAAATTTTGATATCTGTATTACCTTGTAAATACCAAGTCTACCCTGCTGTTACTTTACTTTTAGTAATACATGTCTATCCTGCTGCTGTAACAACCACATTTCCCCGGTGTGGGATGAATAAAGTCTTTATCTTATCTTACAGTATCACTTATTTGTGTCGGTCCTACTAAGCTCATTTTGTCCGAAGCTAATTTGTACGATTGTTTTCAAGGATGTTTTACTTAATTTAAATACCCTTATTTTGGAATGTGTATACCTTTGTTTTCTCATCTGTAATATCTCATCAAATGTCAATTCTGCTGACCTAACTCTGTTCTTTTGTCTCTGCCTCTCTTCTGTAGATGAACCAGTGCTTCACATTCAGCAGTGAAGCGCAGCAGGACAGAGAGGTAACCCTGAACACGTGCTGTTAGTTGAAAAACATTCGGCATAGAAATATTCTCTTTTGAATGGAGTTGCTTCATGTCTACCTTGATTTGTTTGTCATGTGACACAGCATCTCGGAGAGTTGGTGCTGGGTTTCCTCAGTAGAGAGTTGCAGCCTTCGTGTCAGCTAGCATGTCTAGAAACAGTCCGTATCCTGTCCAGAGACAAATATTGTCTGGACCCATTCGTCCGCTGCTCAGCCATGTCCACTCTGGCACGCTACGCTGGCATCTCCGTTACCAGCACTGCAGCATTTGCCTGCAGCAACACGACAGGTATGTCCCAGAAATCATGCAAGTCTTCGACTCTTAAAACAACAATATTTTGTTAGTGTAGCTTAGGGAGTCTTAAAGTTTGGATAGTGTACAATTTGAAAAACCAAGCCATCTTTGAATGTAGCAAGTAACAAGCTGTTACCATGGTTCCCATTTTCAAACTATATGTTCATAGATGTCAAGGCTGCCATTAGACAGTTGAACCTCTCAATCATAGGTGGTACGACATGACTCTTGAGGTGCTCTTGAAAAAGACAGAAAAAACTGAATTTTCACTCCTCATTTAATGAAAGGTCAAAGGTCTGGGTCAAAAATGTGGCACAGATGTCTGCTTACCTAACTTACCCTACTTTCTTTGATTTTAAAGTAGTGGGTCAGGGTCAAGAAGCATCCTGTGGGTTGATGAAGGAAGACCCCCCCATGTCAGAAAACCCTGACCAGGAAGTGATCATCGAGGCTCTCAAGTCCATATGTAATATTTTGCTGCACAACGAGACAGGACAGGTCAGAATGTCTCGTCACAGCTGTTGTTCTTACCTGGAAATCACCATATTTTTTCCAGACTATAAATCACACTTTTTTGTATTCTCTGGCTGGGTCTGCAACTTATACTCAGGTGTGACTTTTATATTAAAATATATAATTTCACGTTTGTTATTTTCACACTGACAGGCGCTATAGGGCACTCTAGCCTTGTGCACCAGTATCTGCTACTGCTGTACCACTGAAAATTTACGTTTGTTAATTTCACGCTGACAGCTGCTAGACGGCACTGGTACGACTTATCCAGAGTGACTTATAGTCTGGAAAATATGGTATTTGGTTTCTAATAAACAACATTTGAATGGATGTGTGGGTGTGGCTTTTGACAGGTGGTGGCAGCAGATCTGCAGCTGATCAAGGGAGTTTCAGAGAGGCTGAAACAGTGTCATGATTCCACCTGGAACCACGAGGTACAGTATAACAGTATGTCAAACTGGTCCCAGCCAGTATTTGCACAAAAGTCACAAAGACATCAAGGAACTAGGGCTGGTATAGGAGTTTTGATACTCATCAAACATCATATACTGTATCATGTAATGGAAGCTGAAACAGACGAGGTGACACCTGGAAACAAAGCTGTGAACAAGTAAGTTAGAAGGTCACAGATACGTAGTAAGAAAAAACAAGTTGAGCAGTTTTTCTAAAGTAGGAAAACAAGGTGGATGCAGGAGCTGGTTCAGAGTTTAGCTACAGTAGCTTAAACCACATGTGCTGTTTACAGGCAAAAGATATAGAACATTTAAGTTAACAGTTAAATTAGCGACACAAACAAAAGCAGAAACAACATTTAATTTTGGCTAAGAAGACTAGCAGCCAACTTGGTTTTGGGCTGGTGCCACTGCTGGTGTATATGTTGGAAACAGCTGAGATGTGTTGGACCTAAATGAAGGCCCATCCGTCTGTTCCTTCTGTCCAGGTGCATTTCTTTGACCTGCGTCTTGCGTTCCTACTGACCGCCCTCAGAGTGGACGTCAGAGCACAGTTGGCACATGAGCTTCATGGCGTCAGTCTGCTGGGTAACTAATGTTTTTAGGAACCACTGGACTATAGCCCTCATGACTCAGTGTGAACAGTTGTCTGTACCACAACTCTCTTTTTAACAGCAGTTAACTGCTGCTAACTAGTCCTAAATGTGAAAGAGCTTGTACTGTGTTACAGGAAATCTCTTGGATGCCACACTTGGTCTCTGTTGGCCAGACACCCTGGAGACAGCTCGGGCAGGTTTTGAGGGAGTTGCCAATGAAGAACTTCCCCCCCTGGGGCGAAACCAGATTGAATTGGCCATGGAAATCCTAAAGATACTGTTTAATATCACCTTTGACTCAACAAGGCGTAAGGTCGATGAGGTGCGTCTTCAACAACATGCCTACTTTGTTGGTTTTTAGCGGTTGCTTGCAAGTCGTTTTCTTCCGTGACAAAAACACGTAACAATGTATTTAAAAAAGAGGGGGCAAATAATAATTCAAAATTAAACACTGAACGCTGAACAAGTGAAGCAGTACACGATACTTAGCCGCAATAGAAACTAGGGATGGCTCAATCCAATACTCAGGATTGGTATTGGGCAGATCTTCTTCTTCCTTTTTCTTTCGACTTTGTCCTTTTTTGTCCAGGAGTTGCTACAGCAAATCATTGATTTCCATCTCTCCCTGTTCTCTGCATCTCCTACTCTGACTCCAACTATCTGCATGTCCTCCCTCACTGCATCCATATATCTCCTCTTTGGGTTTCCTCTCTTTCTCCTACCTGGTAGCTCCATCTCTAACATTCTTCTACCAATGTATCCACTGTCCCTCCTCTGGACATGTCCAAACCATCTCAATCTGGCTTCTCTGTCTTTTTCTCCTAACCTTCCTGTCTGTGTTGTCCCTCTAATTGGTCAGCATCTTAGGGGTGAGCAGTGAAAAAAAACAACTATAGCCCATCACATCTGACACTTTTGCCAAAATGCTCATCCTAACTCTGCGCAACATTCCATAAATAGGGACACTATAACCTCAGCAATGGCGGCCTGTGGCGTGCTGGGGGAGAAAAGAAGGTATTGGCTATCAGGAAAAAGCAAAGGGCACACCACCAAACTAAAATCTGACCAAAAGTCTATGTAATGAAATCTAATAATCTTCTAGTTTAAATGATCTCATCATTGACTAAAATCTCAGTCTGTTTAGTTGAAGACAACGCTAATATACTGGTAGGAATTGAAGAAAGACACTCACCGTTGGTGTTGAAGACCTTGTGTTAAATCCCTATGTAACAGAAATATGAAGCAGACATTATTAGATCCATGGAGGACATGTTACCTATAACGTGTGTGTGTGTGTGTGTGTAGGAGGAGGCAGCAGAGTACAGACATTTAGGAGCCATAATGAGACACTGTTTAATGAGCCGTGCAGATGGAGAGGAGCGGACTGAGGAGTTCCACAGGTAGGAGGAGGACAACACACCTTGTCACCACATCAGTGGAGTCAGACGGCCATCACTGCCATGATGCTGCCTTCAACATCACATTTCACTCACTCTCTCCCCGCCCCCTCCAGCCATACTGTTAACCTGCTGGGAAACCTGCCCCTGCCCTGTCTGGACGTGCTGCTGCTGCCCAAGGTGCAACAAGGCTCCGTGGAGTACATGGGAGTCAACATGGACGCTGTGAACGTGCTAGTGGAGTTCATGGAGAAAAGGTTGGACAGGGTAAGAAAACAGTCTCTGTGGGTACCATGACCAGGTGTCTGACTCCGTGGGGGACAGAGAGGCAGATGTGGTTTTGTAATCTGAATTTTCAAAGACTGTAGAGCATTTTTTGGTGATTCAAACGTCCTTGTGGTCTCTTCCATGTCATTTGGACAGGGCCATAAGCTGAAGGAGACCCTGCTCCCGTCACTAAATCTGCTGACAGAGAGCAGCCGTGTCCACAGAGAGACCAGAAAGTTCCTCAGGTCAAAGGTAAGAACTGAAACCAGGCAAATAAAAACCACAACAAAGGTGTTATTTACGTGTGTGGGGGCGTGTTTGCGTGTAGGTGCTGCCCCCACTGCGTGATGTCAAGAACAGACCTGAAGTGGGCAATGCAGTGAGGAACAAACTGGTTCGCCTGATGACACACATTGACACCGATGTGAAGAACTGCGCCGCTGAGTTTCTGTTTGTTCTCTGCAAAGAAAACGGTGAGAGTTTTCTCTAAGTGATAACCTTCGGTTTGTGGATCCCAGTGGTTTTCCATACTGAGCTAATATCCATAGATCAGAAATGTGGATCAACATGTCCTATTCAAGTTTTAGCCACCTGCTTTTTACTATTATTATTATCCAAATGTTAGTCCTCTTAGCTTTACTTTTGACATTTATTATCCCGTGGTCTCTGCTATTTATAGTTAGAAAAAAGAAACCATTTACTTCACTTTCTTGTCACTGGATTTTTCTTATTTGTGTATTTTGACCATGTTGAAACCTTTGTATTTTCTGTCCAGTCTCAAGGTTCATTAAATACACTGGCTATGGAAACGCCGCGGGCCTGCTGGTCGCCCGGGGGCTGCTGAGCGGGGGCAAAGACTGTGGGATCTACTCTGATGATGAGGAGTCTGAGACAGAGGAGTACAAAGAGGCCAAGGCTCAGTCAGTAGCACATTAATAATGCTGTTTTATCTCAGTGCTAATGTAGTATGTTTGTGAAGGAGCAGGTAGATACGCGTCGATCGCACGGATGCCTTAACTGTTCTAGGAAGAAGAAACAAAACAAAACAAAAACGTGGAAACTCTAGCGTTTATTCTAAACTTAAACTCTTATTTTTCGGACCATAAGGCGCACCAGGTTATAAGGCGCAGCATTTGTTTATACGTCTATATTAATGTAGGTATTCATGTAAGTTGTGTATATATGCAAAAAAATACAACTATGTATAAAAGAAATTCCATATACCGTATTTTTCGGACCATAAGGCGCACCAGGTTATAAGGCGCATTAAGTGAAGCAAAACATTCAGTGAAACAATTAAGTGGAACAATCAGGCATGTCCAGATCCCTCTTGTCAATATTTGAGTCGGTCTAGTTGCTGTAAATTAGCTGTTCAGTGATGATTCCGGCCTTCGTGAAAGCTCGGACGACATTTGAGACTGATACCTTAGCCCAAGCATCCACGATCCACTGACAGATAGTGGCTTAACTCCTCCGGCGTTGCCTCCCTGTCTTGGTGAATCTGTGTTCGCCTTCTGTCATCCAATGCTTCCACGCAGCTCGCAAGTTAACTTTGAACGCCCTGCTAACGCCAATATTTAGCGGTTGGAATTCTGTGGTTAATAAACCCGGAATGATGGCAAGTCCCGAATTAGTTTGCTTCACTTCGGTTATGTCAATATCGGTGAGATGGCGCTCATGGAGTCGCAGATAAATAGGGACGGAGATTTGTGGAAATGGGTAGTGACCTATGTTGGACACAGGAGGGCACTGTTGTTATTGTTCGCCCCTCCAGAGTCAGGCGGTTGTCACTAGTTTTGATCTGGAGGGTCACCGTATTGTTGTTTTGACGCTGTTCGGTGCGGGAGTGCGGATGTTGTTTTGCAGAGAGAGTGTGTTTTCCTGGATCGATAAAAAAGGAGAAAGGAGAAATTTAGAGAAAACAGTTTTTGACCACGAAAAGAAAAATCGACAGTCATGCGTCTGAGTCGTCCTGCATCGCACCATACATCGACAATTCAAAAACACAACGCTGAGTCTCCGGGTGTTGGGAGGCACGAAGCGAAGTTGCGCGGATTTAGGTTACACAACCATACACTAACAGTTGTTAAACATGTTCTAATTGTGATAACAATTAGAACATGTTTAAAATCGGTTCGAGGTCAGTAAGCACAACCAGAAGTAATACATAAGGCGCACCGGGTTATAAGGCGCACTGTCGCCATCACCACAGTCAGCAGGGTTTAAATGAACCTCTCATGACCGTTCATTTAGAAAAGAAAGAACATTGTTTAAGGGAGTTTGGAATAAAGTTAAAATTATTATTATTGCTATTGTTTTGTGTCCTCAGTATCAACCCAATCACAGGCGTGGTGGAGGAGGAGCAGCCTAACCCCATGGAGGGAATGACGGAGGAGCAGAAAGAACTTGAAGCTATTAAGCTGCTCAACATGTTTGACAAACTGTCAAGGTCAGTGAACACACACACACTGGTTTTAGTCCTTTGTGAGCACTTCACATAGACTCTAATGTATTTTCCAGTGCTTTACCCTCACCATTACTATCACAAATACAGGCCTAATCCTAATCCTTACGCTAACGCTAATCTGACCCAAATCTGAATCCAAACCAATACTAACTAATACTAATACCAGTGCCTGTAAAAACCTTCTCTCTCTGCGAGGACTGGAAAATATTCCCTCAATGACGAAACATTCCCCACAGTATAGCTGTAACAGGAACACTGACACACACATTTCACTGCAAAATTAATTAAATCTGTTTTGGGTTTTTTTTTTTAAATCAAAAGTAGACAAGTCATTTTTTTTAACCTTTTTTAGCCATTTGGCTAATGTTTAGCCATCTTGGCCCACATTTAATATTTGATCACTGGGATAACCTAATTATCCTTAGTTATTTTAGCTATTGTTTGGCGAGTTATTTCTAAAACTTATAACCACGAACCCTAGAGTGATAATAAAAGTTGATCACCTTCTCACAGGTGATTTTACTGTAACCATTCCTCTCATCAGGAACAACCTGATCAAACCCATGCAGCTCAGCGTGGACGGCAAGATGAGAGAGATGACCATGGAGGAGCTGCAGAACATGAGCCACAACCCGGTGATTCCTGCAGAGGAGCTGAGCAGTGATGAGGAGGTGGAGTGAGGAGGTGCAGCTCAGAACAGCCGTGTGACAACCCTGTTCACCGTCTCCTTATGGTGACGGGTGTAAACATGTAGTGGAGAATGATTATATCACCACATCACTATTTAACCACTTTCTTTTTTAGTGAAAAAAAAAGATGCCAAAGACGTGACGTCAACAAAATGGGGTCAAAACATTATTAAATTTTTAAAAAATTTAAAAAGATACTCTCTTTTGGTTTGTTTTTTTAAGTTTAAGACTTAAAAAAACCCAAATATAATTTGCTATAAACAGAGATAAACTTAATATATCTGATATGATGCAACTCCATGACTGATGTTTTGAACATCTTTTGTAACTCATCATAAGGATAATGTCACATGATTTATATAAATAAGATAAAATAATAACAAATATTTTCATCGAGGACAACTGACCCAAGTAGGTTTTTTAGGGAGGAGGTGAGAAACGCCCTATTCTAAGGAGAGAGGATTGGTGGATGTAAACCAGGATGAACCGATGGAACGCCAGCTTCTCTAAAAATGATTGGTCGCTGCCTAAGTTGAGTTTGGCGCCACTGGATTTGGACGTCATCAACGTCATAATTAGTCATCAAGTGTCGCCACTGCTGCTCATGAGATCATATGACTAATAAATAAAAGTTTTATTTAAACGAATGCTGACAATTTTGTTTTTCACCCCTCAGATGTTTTATTTTTAAGAATTTCTGTCTGATGCTGTGACTTCTAAAAGAAAACTGGAGATTAAATATTTTATGCACTTTCAGTAAATAATTGGAAATCACTGAAAATATCTTTCATCTTTATACTGTTAACAGGCTAATGGATACAATAAATGTGTTCATTGTAGGATAGTGTGGTCTTGTCAACATGTGACCAGCTCATCAAAGAAATACACAAGATTGGGTTTTAACATGTCTGACTACTGCCACTACTGCAGTGGAGAAAGAGGAGCTATGTGCTTTTGGTTATTTCAGGTTATTTTTATGACTATTTTTATTGATGATTTTAGCTACACTTACTTTTAACCATCTTCTTTGCTAATGTAAATTTGTTGCTTTAACGTTTAGTCAGTTTTGGTAATTTTTAGTCTCCCTTAGCTAGGGCAGTGGTGGCTTAGCGGTTAAGGAAGCGGACTTGGGTTGCAGGTTCGAATCCACCAGCTGCTAAGTTACCACTGAGGTCCTCTGAGCATGGCACCGTCCCCACACACTGCTCCCTGGGTGCTCAAAAAGCCCGCTGTTCACTTTGGTGAGGGGTTAAATGCAGAGGTCACATTTCGTTGTGTTCAGTGCTGTGTGTCACAATGACAAGGAGTTCACTTTCCTAATTTTGCAACTTTGAGAAACTTTGAGCGATCCCCTTAGCTAACTTTTGTAACTAACTAATGACTAAGAGCCTACAGTGTCTGCAGTGGTTGCTGGCTAACCACATAAAACCTGAAGAATTAATCAGGTTCTGTGTCTCCTATGTTGTCAAGGAGTGTCTCACATGTTCATCATTCCAATAGGACAGAGTGTAGAACAACAACAGACCAAGTCCAAGATAACCAAACCAAAAAGTCACAGACAACAAATAAAAACAAGGTGAGTCATTGTAGTGTAACTAGCCAAGAGGTAGAATAAAAAAATAATCAAAAATAATAATTAAATATTAATAAATTTAAATAGAGAAAAACCTACGTTTGCTACAAGACAACTTTATGGTTGAAGTTGTAAATTTTCTTACCAATCTCCCCAACATCTGACTAGAGTTAGCCAAGAATTGGCTAAAAGATAGCCAGTAGGTATGCAAGTCAAACAAAGCAACATACATGAAAGTATATTAGAGCTACAAACATCAGCCAAATAACTGTTTGTCAAAATATATAAAATACATGCAATAATATACTGAAAACTACTCAAACTCCAAGGGAAGAGATTCATTTTAAGAGGAAAGTTGAGAGAAAATTGTTAAATGTGCTAAAGCTAACTCAAAGATATCTTGAAAACAATAATTATATGTAACAGAGGTTAGTAGTTATGTAGTTATAAATACACAAAATTAATTTATTTGTTCTACCTGACAGATGTGGGTTGTTCCTCCTTGGGCGGAAACTTGATGTGCATTTTCTTTATCTAAAAACTATCACTGTTTCTTCGGACTTTGTGGGAGAGGTTAGTGTTTTTCTGTTGCTCCTTGTTTTTAGCATGTTATTTAATTTTGCACAATAGATTTATTTAATGTATATTTTGTAGGGGCTTGGGCGATGTCCGGGTGGAAAATTAATTTTGTTCTGTATGAACTCTGTCAGATCATTAAAAATGTTTGTGACGGCAGCATGACGGCGTTCATTAACACAACGAAGAGACTACACCGGTTACATATATAATAATTAAATTTGCAAAAAAATTGATGAACAGCTATAATTATCATTTCAAATAAGTATGACTTCATGTTGGATGGCAAAATAAAACACACAACAAACATTCATTTTGCCCAAAAGCCCCAAAGTCACATGCAGGAAAAATGGAACAAGGGCAAAACTAGCAAAAACAGTTATTCAAGTAAAACAGAAATATATTTTTTTTTAATGTTAAGCAAAATGCAGGCTAGCATAAAAAACACCTGTCAGTTAGCCAAACAAGCAAAGATTTGGTAAGAGATTACTGCTACCTTGAAGCCACAGCGGGCAGGAGTTCTGGGCTCAAACAGTTCCAGGGTTATTTGTCCAAAAAAAAAAAAAAGGGACTGGAGGTAAAAAAGAAGTAAAGTCACAGTTTTCTGGTCACCTGGTCACCTGGTCACATGACCCCTGACCACCTGACTCCACTCATGTATCAAATCAAAGAGCAGGAGATGCTGAAATGCCTGATGGGAATTTGAAAAGAAACACTCTTCGTTTCACAGCTTCTACATGTGACGCCGTCGTATATTAGCTACTACTAAGGACAGAATGATAATAAAAATGAGAGAGAGTTTTGACACAACTCAATCATCTCTTTAATCAATGTTATTGACAGGTATAATTAGTATAATTCCACTCTTTTCATATCTTTGTTTCTGTAGATTTTTGTACATAATATTCTGTGCGTGCAAAGATAAACATGACAGTAGAAAATAAACTCTTCGCTCAAGTTTGAGACGGAGGCTCAGATTAATGACATCATCGAGAGCTGAACTGACGACCGCACGCTCCTCCCAACACTCAGACACACACACACACACACACGTATACACACACACACACACCCTGAGTGTCGGATAGACTGAATACATTTGATCAGGATTAAATCTGATGTTTGTGCAGATGAACCTGGATAATCCAGAGTCAAATCAAAGAAGATGAACCTGAATGAAAAAGTTCAAAGACAAATGAAATATTCCTTTAAGTATCAACGCTAATTTGCTACATAGAACATTAGGTAACTGGTGTATCCATCAGAGATTTCCTTCTCTGTGGAATTCTTGGTTTCAGTTTTGAGAAGGAAAGAAATTGAATTGTTTAAATTCGAACAGGTTTTCATTCAAGTTTGGTTAAAAATGTGACGTTTGCTCCACCTGACCTGTTCTTTGAGTTATTAAAATATTAAAAGTATAAAATCGTAGAACACTTACATATGATTTCATAAAAATACAAATGCAGTGGAGAGAAAACCTGTTGTGAAAATGAAAACATAATTCAACATTATGGAGTTGCTGTTATAAATAACAAAATAACCGACGTGGGAATTAAACCAATGACCGACGCACGTATAAAACATCGACTACGTTGTGCTCTTGGTAACGTTCATATAATTAATAAATAATCCCCTCTAATCTGGCTGGCACGTGGTGACGCTGTGACCAGCTTGTGGCCCCCTTCTGGCAGCCGGGTGTAAACAAACCTAGCACAGTCATTCCATGCCACATGTGGTCCAAATGTGAATGTGGGTCATGTGACATTTGTACCACAGATATTTGATTAATTCTGATAGAAATCTGTCGTTTTTTTGTTGCTTTGGGCAAATAAACGCAGAATAAAAATGATTTCACTGACAGGAAGAGCAGCAG